CAAAATCACTGCAGATGGTGATTGCAGCCATGAAATTAAAAGACGCTTACTCCTTGGAAGGAAAGTTATGACCAACCTAGACAGCATATTAAAAAGCAGAGACATTACTTTGCCAACAAAGGTCCGTCTAGTCAAGGCTATGGTTTTTCCAGTGGTCATGTATGGATGTGAGAGTTGGACTGTGAAGAAAGCTGAGTGCCGAAAAATTGATGTTTTTGAACTGTGGTGTTGGAGAAGACTCTTGAGAGTCCCTTGGACTACAAGGAGATCCAACCAGTCCATCCTAAAGGAGATCAGTCCTGAGTGTTCAATGGAAGGACTGATGCTGAAGCTGAAACTCCAATACTCTGGACACCTGATGTGAAGAGTTGACTCATTGGAAAAGACCCTGATGCTGGGAGGGATTGGGGGCAGGAGGAGAAGGGGACGACAGAGGATGAGATGGATGGATGGCATCACCAACTTGATGGACATGAGTTTGAGTAACTCCGGGAGCTGGTGATGGACAGGGAGGCCTGGCGTGCTGTGATTCATGGGTCGCAGAGTCGGACACAACTGAGTGACTGAACTGAACTGAAGAGTTGAGACTGGGAAAGTTAGGTGAAAGAAATTGAAAGTGAAAGTTGCTGAGTGGTGTCCCACTCTTTGAGAACCCATGGTCCATACTGCCCATGAAATTCTCTAGGCCAGAACACTGGAGTGGGTAGCCTATCCCTTCTCCAGGGGATCTTCCTAACCCAGGAATCGAACTGGGGTCTCCTGCATTGCAGGAGGATTCTTTACCAACTGAGCTATCAGGAAAGTTAGGTGAGATGCTTAAAAACAGAAAATGACAAATACAAAAATTATATAATATTTACAGAAACAAAGAACATCTTGTATTTTTCTCTGAAATTTTCATGTTTGGTAAAAACAATAAATCGAGGTGTATGCTTGGCTATGTAAAACAGTTGAGTGCCTGCCCAGTCGTGTTGGACTGTCCGGGACCCCATGGACTGTATGTAGCCCACCAGGCTCCTCTGTCCATGGGATTCTCCAGGCAAGAATACTGGAGTGGGTTGCCATTTCCTTCTTCGGGGGATTTTCCCAACCCAGGGATAAAACCCGGCTCTCCTGTGTCTTCTGCTTTGCAGGCGGATTCTTTACCGGGCCACCTGGGAAACCCAAACAGGTATTCCTAATTGTTCTATTTTTCTAAGAGTTTTTCCAAAATTAACCACGTGGTGGTGCTGTGCTACCAAATCAATTGATGTCAATTCACTCCCTTGCCACTGAAGCCAGCAAAAAGGAGTTCAGTGAAAACAAGGCATAAGTATTATGTCCAGCGGAGTCAGTAGAGAGTTTAGCCTATTTATTTAAAATCCCGAGGAAGAATAAAATACTTTATCTCTTATGTTTTTAAGGAAAAACAAAATAATTCTCCCTTGGATGTACTGTGATCACAATTACGGTTATTTGAAATGAAATAATATTGTTATGCAATAGCAAAATAGTAAGGATTTATTTTTTAGTTCCAAAGAAGTTTCACTTATTTTAAAATAAATAGGAAATTACTTTACCCTTCTTTATTTTAAATGCTGTCATTACTTATTTGAGTTCCCAATAAATATATTGTAAAAATAGTACAGAGCTGTTTTAGAAATTATTCAAATTATTAAAATTGCTCTTTTGCTCAATATAAGTATTCATCTCAGTATTTAACTGCCTAAATCTCTTAATCAGTAACAAGCAAACCACAGTGTGCATGTACATAAATATGTATTTTCAGTTCTTGAATATTTATAACTCATGTTAACTTTACATTTGTATTTATATCCAGTAAATATATATTTATTCTCATTTATGGGCTTCTTGGGTGGTGCTAGTGGTAAAGAACCCGCCTGCCAGTGCAGGAGACGTAAGAGACTCAGGTTGGATCCCTGGGTAGGAAAGATCCCCTAGAGGAGGGCATGGCAGTCCTCTCCAGAATTTTTGCCTGGAGAATCCCCTGGACAGAGAAGCCTGGCAGGCTATGGTTCCTAGGGTCACACAGAGTCAGAGACAACTGAAGCAACTTAGCACGCACATTCTCACTTATCCAGTAAGATATAAAATCTATGGACTAAAAATTTATATTTAATTTAGCTTTTCTTGTACCAATGAGATGGCTGAATTTAAAATGACTTCTTCTCTCATTTTAAATGCAACCCATGGCCAAATTATTAGATGTGACAAAAAAATTTTAAGTTATATTACCCTAACTTTGTTATTGTTTCTATTTTTATAATACTTAGCAATATATAGGGCATTTTTTATTTATTCATACTTTCTTAGTGCAATAGAATATAAGTATAAAATACGAATAGTTTCTTAAAAAAAAAAAAGCAGTATCTTGTGCCTTGGAGAGATATATAAAGTTGCATAATGTTATCCTGAATTCAGAGTGACACAGTGAAATGGCATTGTCACAGTGCTCATAAACTGAACCCAAGTTGAGGTTTAAAAAATAAAAATGCCTCTTTTTCATTCTGAGAAGCTCATGTAAACTTGACCATCATTTTTAATCCACTTATACCTTCCATGCATGGAGAAAGAGGAGAGAGGGAAAAATAGTAAAAGGAAACTAAATAAAGATTTTGGAAATGTAATTATAATAAGAATGTGTGCTTTAGAGAATTTTAAGCATTTTAATTTATTCTTTAGTGAGATAAGAAAGAAAATCACTCAAAAACAAAAAATAGCATGATATTTTAAAACAGATGTGTTCAAATGGAGAATATGTATTTTTAGACTTTATATATGCATGTCATATACTTAAGAATATAATTTCTATATGAATTTGATTTCATATCAAAAATCTTCACTGCAATTCTATGCTGAGCTATTGAGAGAAAAGTTTCCAAAAGTAATTTTAAGGTCATTATGGAGCTTAAACACTGCTGTTGATATTTACATACATATTTATTATTGTACATCTACTTTTCATAGCATATTAGGCTCCTCTGTCCTCCACTACCTCCTAGAGCTTGCTTGGAGCTTCCCTGGTGGTTCAATGGTAAAGAATCTGCCTGCCAGTGCAGAAGGAGGGGGGTTCAATCCCTGGGTTGGGAAGATCCCATGGAGAAGAAAATGGATGCCCACTTCAGCATTCTTGCCTGGGAAATCCCTTGGACAGAGGGGCCTGAAGAGTTACAGTCTATTGGGTTACAAAAGAGTCAGACACGATTTGGTGATTAAACAACAGGCAGCATTATTGCCAATAACAAAAATATGGAAGCAACTCAAATGCTCACTGAGAGGTGAATGGATAAAGAAAATGTATACACAGTCATCCCTTGGTATCCACAGGCTCCAAGACCCCTTGCAGATACCAAAATCCAAGGATGCTCAGATCCCTTACATAAGATGATAGTATTTGCATATAACCTGTGCATATTTTCTGTATACTGCAAGTATTTTTTAGATCACTTATAGTATCTAATATAAGTAAATGCTATGTAAATAGTTGTCAGTATGCAGAAACTTCAAGTTTTGTCTTTCAGAATTTTACATGGAACTTTTTCCCTGAATAATTTGGCAATTGATTGAATTTTCAGATGTGAAATCTGCAGTGATAGAGATATGGAATAAAATCTTGCTATTTACGACAACATGGATGAACTTTGAGGGCATTGTGCTAGTTTAAGTGAAATAAGTCAGACAAAGAAAGACAAATATCATATGATTTCATTTATATATGAAATCTAAAACAAACAGACAAGCTCATAAATACAGAGAGCTGACTGGTGTCGCCAGAAGTAGAGTTGGGTAGTGGGTGAAATGGGTGGCATGGGGTGTGGCTCGTGTGCTCAGTCGTGTCCAGCACCGTGTAACCCCATGGACAGTAGGCTGCCAGGCTCCTCTGTCCATGGGATTTCCCAGGCAAGAATACTGGAGTGAGTTGCCATTTCTTCTTCCAAGGGATCTTCCCAACCCAGGGATTGAACCCGCGTCTCCTACATTACTTGCATTGGTAGGCAGATTCTTTACCGCTAAGCCACCTGGGAAGACCCCAGTGAAATGGATAAAGGGAGTCAAAAGGATTTTTCTCTTTCTCACATTTACATATTGCTTCAGGCCCCTTCCTGACAAAAGACCAACTGCATATCCTGAGATAATGACGTATTTCTAATATTTTGAATCTTACTCTCCATTCTCTTCTATACAAATCAAGTTAACATAACTAGAGGGCTTCCCATCACATTGCACCTTCTTGTCTTCTCCCTACTTCTGGTTAATCTTTGTTTACTTACCACATCACAGCACTCTCAAACCAGCTTTATCCCTTCTCATTTCTTACACTCACCGGTAGCAGAGCTCGCCCATATCAGAATTCACCCACTCTGAGGTCTAGGCTCATGAGCAAGTGTGTGAGTTAGATACTGATATTCTCATAAAAGTAGCAAATAGGACAAGGCCAAACCTGGTATACTTAGTGTTTACTTCTACATCTTATCTTTAAATTAACCTGTTCATCTAAGCTGATAACAATAGCAAATTAAATCAAAATTAAACTCTGGTAAGACTTTTTTAATGACTTAAGTGAATTAAAAGGCCTAGCTTTTTCAACATAAAATATGCATGTGTGTGTGAGTGCTAGGTTCGTTCAGTAGTGTCTGACTCTTTGTGACCTTATGATCGCCCTCCCCTGTCCATCATATTCTACAGGCAAGAATACTGGAGTGGCTTTCCATGCCCTCCTCCAGGGGATCTTCCTGACCCAGGGATCAAACCTGCATCTCTTATGTCGGGGGCATTGGCAGGCACATTCTTTACCCCTAGCACCATTTGGGAAGTCCAGCATTAACTATATACCTGTTGAATCACAGAATAAAAGTTGGGAATCGATATTTCCTAGCTACCCAGACTTTTTTTTTAATTTAAAATATTCCTAATTGAAAGGAAATTAAGATATCTCTCATTTCCTTTGTGTTGTTTAATTTTTATTGGGTAATCTGCTTTTCAAAAACATGTCCACATACCTTTTTCAATTTGATAACTCCTTCTTGTGTGTCCTCATCTGTGACGATGTCAAACAAATTTCCCCCATCTCCTGGAACAATATTGTATTCAATTTCTGCATTTTGTCCAAAATCAGGGTCCACGGCTCTTATTCTTCCAACAGCTGAGCCAACAGGAGAAGACTCAGGAACTTTCAGATGGAAAATGCCTGATGAGATACATTTATATTTTTTGTTTACAGTGAAGTTAGTCAAATATATAAGATTACTTGGCTTGAAAATACAGTCTACAGAAAATAAATCACCTATAAAACATAATAGTGCAAAACCAAAAGGCAGTTTGTTCTCCAGTTAAAGGTTATAACTAGGAGTAGTACTTTCACTTTTCACTTCAAAGCATTCTGTTGTAGAATTTCAATTAAAAATAGAAAGTGTTAAAATTACTATGAAAAAATATTTTACATACTAACACTATCTAATGCTTGCACCTATTATCAAACGTGAAGGTGAGGATATCCACGAAATAAATTGGTACTAATGTAAAAGAATCCAGGATATAAGACATAGATTAAAAAGATGTATAGAGAGATAATAGATGAATAGATAGATGAACACACAGAAAATAGAAGAAAAATATTTACTTAGAAAAATAATATTATGTATTCTATCATTTATTAAAAATAAAATATTTATCCTAATATTTATATTATCCTAATATTTATGTATCCTATATTTATAAAATATTAATATAATACAATAAAATATTTACTCAATGAATATAATGATTAAGCTAAAAATGACCTTGAAATAAGTATATGAGTGTATATGTATTAAATATATGTACATATATTTAATCTACAATGGATTTAAGTATATTGTGCTATAGGCTAATACTAAACTTATATTTAGTCAATTTTTCCTGCATTTCCTTCTAGGTATTTTTGCACACTTTTAAAATCAAGACAGAAATTTCTCTCTCAATTTTTTATCATTAAAGAAAAAAGTAAAATGCTAGCTTTATGCCACCAGGGGTAGCACCAACATTACTATAATCTGATACTCAGTCAAGCCTAAAAAAAAAAAAAAAACTATAAAAAATACAACAGAATCACAAAAAATTATGATCTCCCACAAAATTAAAACATACATTGCTTACAAGAACTTGCAAAATTTTATTAGGTATGACATGAAAGAAATGATATGTTATTTTATTGATATCTCACCAATAAAAATAATTAATTAAACAGTAGTCTGTTTAAGCCAAAAGAAGGAAACAAAGAAAATAGGAGGAAATATAAATGCTAAATCAAAACCAAACACAAAAATACAAAGTTTAAATTAATAATGACTTTGATTAAACTTTCTATTAGTTGATTTTGGACTGTAATTTCCTATAAGTAAAGCAACCAGGGTAACTGATTTGCACTTCTATGTAACTAGAAGTTGCAGCAATTAAATTAGGAAGTAAATATATTTTTGAATGGTGAAGTTCATTCAACATACTAGATTACAGTATTACAATAATTTCTTTTAAGAGATATGAGAAAAATAATAAATCACATTAGGGAGATTCTGTCAAATAACTTATTCTTTACTCCCAACTGTTTTTATAGGTTTTATTGTTCTTTCACAATCAGCTTCAAAATTTTATAAATTAATTAGCTCCGGTAGCTCTTAAATCTTGCCATCAGCCTTTCTACCACTCCCCCAAAAAGATTTATACCATTTGCTCTTATAATGTTAATATTAGCCTTATTTATATCCATTTAATGTTGGAGAAGACTCTGGAGAGTCCCTTGGACTGCAAGGAGATCCAACCAGTCCACCCTAAAGATCAGTCCTGGGTGTTCATTGGAAGGACTGATGCTGAAGCTGAAACTCCAATACTTTGGCCATCTCATGCGAAGAGCTGACTCATTGGAAAAGACTCTGACATTGGGAAAGATTGAAGGCAGGAGGAGAAGGGGACGACAGAGGATGAGATGGCTAGATGGCATCATCAACTCGATGGACATGAATTTTAGTAAACTCCGGGAGTTAGTGATGGACAGGGAGGCTTGGCATGCTGTGATTTATGGGGTTGCAAAGATTCGGACACGACTGAGTGATTGAACTGAACTGAGTACTACTGGATAAACCATATCTTCAACTACACAGACTTTTGTCAACAAAGTACTTTCTCTGCTTTTTAATAGGTTTGTCNTGGCAACCCACTCCAGCGTTCTTGCCTGGAGAAGCCCATGGACAGGGGATCCTGGGGGCTATAGTCCGTGGGGTCTCAAAGAGTCGGACATGATGGAAACCAGTTAGCATACACATAAGCATGCACACACTGACAATACAGCTGCCTTCAAAAGAGATATGAGAAACCTCTCTAAAAGAGAAAATGTGATATGAATAGATAAATAGACATAGACCAAATAAGAATACTTCAAGTGGCAATAATGGAGCATTAGGTAGACATTATAAAATAATTTGGGTTGAAAAACTCCTATTTGTCTATCAAACTAGCAATTTTTCACAGACTATAGTTATGATTCATTAGGTTTCATTCCTTAAACCCTTAACAGAGAGGCTAGCCTATAGAGTTGCTCAATATTTGTGGTAAAGTAGGGTTTGAATTTGAGGAAACAAGAGAAAAGAAAAAGAATAAAATCATAGGTAACATTTTTATATACTCATGGCCTACAGAAAAGGTAAAGACAGATATCAAGGGGAATTTGTATGAGTTCAAATAGCCATGATTATATAATCAGAACATAATGCAGCTTTTTCAACCTAGTTTCTTTGGAGCATAAGTGTCTCACAATAAACATATTAAACTCTGACCCTATTGAAGCTCTCCTGAGATGTAAGCAAGCATCAAGATGTCTGAATTCCTGTTTAACACAGCAAGAAAGCATGTGACACAGTTATTAAAGTTGTACTAAACTTCTCAGTTACAAACTCCAAAGAAAAATGAACAGGCATAGCACATGTGAAATATTGTTTGTTTCTTTTATTCTTTTTTTCTCAATGCCTATAGTTTATCAGAAACGTGTCTGCATCCTTTGCATCTCACTGTGTGCTTGTGATATGGAATAGAAGAAATACCAAAAACCTTGTGATCTGTCATGGTCTAATCTCATGGTACATCAATAAGTGTTAGGAAAGATCTTGAGCTTTTCCAAATAGAGCAGTGGAGGTATAGGCTGAAAAATAAATGCTCCTTTAACAGGGTGTTTAGTTAAGAAACATGACTTGGTGTGCTCAGCCAATCCTTCTTCTCTCTCTCTTTGCAACCCCAGGGACTGTAGCCCACTAGGCTTCTCTGTCCATGGGATTCCCCAGGCAAGAATACTGGAGTGGGTTGCCATTTCCTTCTCCAGGGGATCTTCCTGACCCAAAGATGGAACCTCTGGCTCCTCTGTCTCCTGCATTGGCAGGCAGCAGTCAAGTGTAGTGGATTTCAAATTAAAAATATGAACAACTGTACATGGTGGTGATAGTGATACATCATTGGAGCAAGGGGAGTATTGAATGAAATCTTTAGGAAAATATGTGTCTAACTTGTAATCTTGGACTATTTCTTACTCTATCCTATCTATTTAAGGGAAGCAAATAAGTTACATGTTAGGTTTAGGTTTAAGTTTAGGTTTGCTTCTCACTTGAATATTTTAAAATAAAAATAATAGAATCAAAAAATCAAGGAAAATAATCTAGTCTGGAATCATCACTTAGGGATTATGATTAGTGAAGGCAAAGTATTTAGCCAGAATTGAGACCATTCAATGTTAGGAAAAAAGTTGAAACTCAGGAAGGTTATCTAAAGGACATCAGATAATACAGAGCATAGATGAAAAAGTTCTCCTTTTCAAGACAATATGCTGAGATATGAGTTCTATGCTTTATAAAAGAACATTTTATGAGGTTAATAACAATAAACATGAAGATAGCTATTATTTGTATTATGCTATCAATATACGTAAGATAGAGGAGGACTGGTCTTCGGTCAAGGGTATATGAGTAGCTGCGCTCCTTGCTAGAACCTCCAAACAAGCTCTTAAGTAGCAGCTTTTAAAAAAACTGTCAGCATACAGTAAGCCTGCAAAACTCATAATTATCTAATGGCATTAGAAAATTTGTGATTAAAATGAAATACTATCTCTGTCCACAAAAGATCTACTCAATAACATTCCATTAACATGCCTGACCCAAATTAAGATATAATAGAAGTTAAACAGTGGCTTCCCATTTACATCATTTTTGTGCACTGAGGTTTTAAGGTACATAAAGCAAACACATAAAGAGCACTAAATTTTCTGGTGTTTACATAAGGTGTATACATATTAGTAAGGTGGAAGATGCATTCATTATGACAAACATTTCTCAGTAGGACATCATAGTTAGTAATAAAGCCTGCAGAATACGGAACTAGTCAGAAAAACTGTGCATTCGTCTTGCCAGATTGCTTACACTCTGTCATTTTATTTTCAATGACTTGACATTTTATCGCTTCTAGAAACTCAACAGCAATAAAGCTAGGGTCATTCAGATTAATTCAAAACTGAAGTAAATCTTCAACTGTGCCAAACTTGGATGGCTTTTGATGTACTATGTAATTACACTGCCATCATTTTCTGGGCATCCTACTTTTGACGCATATGAAACATCTTAATGGCACTACCTGTCCAACACAGATTAAGATATAAAACAGGTGACAAGAAATTATTCACAGTGTCAATACTGATATATACTTACATATTTATCAATATGAATGCTATGCTTAACTATTAGAACTAATAAATGAATTCAGTGAAGATGTAGGATCCCAAATTAATTTGCAGAAATGTGTTGCATTTCAATACACTAGTAATGAAATATTGGAAGAAAAATTAAGGAAACAATTCCCTGTACAGTTCCATAAAGAAGAATAAAATACCTATAAATAAATATAACCAAGGAGGTGAAAACCTCTACTCTGAAAAATGAAAGACATTGATAAAACTATAATCTAAAGATTTAATGCAATCCTAATAAAATACAAATAATATGTTTCATAGAACTGGAAAAAACAATCTTAAAATTTGTATGAAACCCCAAAAACCACTAATAGCCAAAGAAATCTTGAGTAAAAAGAGCAAAGCTGGAAGTATCATGCTCCCTAATTTCAAGCTATAGTACAAAATCAGCCATAAAAAAAGAATAAATTTTGCCATTTGTTGCAACA